TGTAAGAGAAAAAGAGGATACTGTTTTGTTTTTCAATATATGATAATCAACAATACATGAGGCATTTAGTATGTATTAATTCTAAAACATATTTATTACAACTTAAGGCCTTTGCATAAACCCTTTATCAAAAATACAGCGTGCAGTTTTATGTCCCTGGCCTCAAACTCTAAAGACTTTTCAAGCACTTACCACAGAGCTAAAACAGCTGGCCTCTCCTCAAAGTTATACCAAATTATATTTTGTGGTTCTCCCAAACATGAATCTAATCCTCCCTTTATTAAACTGTGTTTTCTTGGTTGTCTGAAGGGAGAATCACTGCAAGCTACTGAATTGCTTACACATTTCATCAATTTCAAAACAACCCAGGCAGTAACACTGGTGACAATGAACTGTTTCAGACAGCTCCCATTTCTGTAGACGACCATTTATTCCCCAACTGTTTCAGTAATTCTAAATCTAAGCCTTTAAAATGATAATCAAAATGAACACTCAAAAAAAAAAAAAAAACCAACACAAACTAAAGTTTTCATCATGCCTTAGAAAGGTTTGCCAAGTACTTCCACATGTATCTTAGATGATAATAAAACAATGCTTTGGGGTATTATTTTCAGGTCTACTTTATACATGAGGTGACAGAAGCTGGAAGAGTATATTCAAGTAGCTAATAAACACATGAGGGAAAGGCATTAAACCACAATAAGATACTACCTCACACCTACCAGAATGACTAAAATGTTGATGAGGGTGTGGAGAAATTGGACTTCCCACACACGCCTATGAGAATGTAAACTGCCACATCTAGAGAGCTGTTTGGCAGTATCGATTTAAGCTGAGTATATGCATACCCTACTACCCAGAAATTCTAGTTCCAAGTATCAAAAATATGCTCCAAACGACATGTATGAGAATGTTCACAGCAACATTATTCATAAGAGTCAAACATAAGAATCACACAAATGTCTATCAATAGAAGAATGACAGAAAAGTTCTTGCAGAGTCATACAATAGAATACTATACAGCAATAATGGTAAGTGGACCACTGCTACATAAAATATGAGTGAATCTGAGAAATAAAAGTCAAGTGAAGAATGGCAAATACAAAAGTGTATACAATGTATGATTCCATTTGTATTATGCTCAAAACCAGGCAAAACAAATCTTTGATATTAGAAGTTAGGAGAGTGTTACCTTTGGGAAGAAAGCAGGGTAGGGGGAGGATAGTGGGGAGGCATAAGGGGCTATTGGAATGGTGACTGTCTTAGTCCATTCAGGCTGCTATAACAAACTACCACAGACAGAGTGGTTTAAACAACAAACATTTATTTCTCACAATTCTGGAGGCTAGCAAGTCCAAGATCAAGGCACCAGCAGATTCAGTGGCCACTTACTGGTATACAGGTAGCCAACTTCCAGCTATGTCCTCACACTGTGGAAGAGGTGGGAGAGCCCTCTGGGGTCTCTTTTATAAGGGCACTGATCCCATCCATGAGGGCTCTACCCTCATGATCTAATTCCCTCCCAAAGGCCCTACCTCCTCATACCATCACATTGTGGGGTAGGATTTCAACATATAAATTATGAAAAAACACATACATTCAGGCCATGACGCTGGCCAGGTCCTATTTCTTGATGTGGTCAGAGGTTCCACAGGTATATTCACTTTGTCATAATTCATCGAACTATATACTTAAGATTTGTATAGTGTCCTCTATGTAAGTTATACTTTTAATAAAAGTTTATTAAATTTTTAGATTGTACTGTCAAGTGAAATTATTGCCCCTTTAAATTGGAAATGTGTGTATCTCATTTCATGCAATAAAGTTACCCTCTGAGGTAATAAGTACTGTTATTATCTCCATTTTATAAAAGAGGAAACCAAGACACAAAAAAGTTAAATGACATGCCCAAGGTCCCACAGCCAATACGTGTTAAAGACAGGACTGCAACACAGGCTGTGTGGCACCAGAGCCCCACCAAGAATCCCTTCCTTCTTAAACGAGAATTTGGTGCTTATACAGCACATTTCTTGCTAGACATTTAAAGAGCTTTGAAAATTTGACTCTAAGTTGTATCTAAACCAGGAAGCACAGTCAAATCAAGCGAAGTGATTTCACTAATGCCAATCATATGCTACTGCTTTTCAAAATCAGGCCTCCAGAGGGCAACAAATTTGCTTAACTTCGGACAATACAGTCGAGGTTACTGTTGAGATTGATATCAACCATCTTTTTCTTTAATTCATTTATGCAAGACGTTTTACATACTCCAGATGTTGTTGCACTCATTTTCTACACCTTTGGAATTCTAAATTTAAAATTAGAAACAAAAGCCAAGGCACCAATCAGGAAAACAAAAACGTAAGGCTAACATTCTTGATAGTGTTTCTCCTTTAAATGTGTTCAAATTCTTTATAGATTACCACAAAATCCTACTTCTATTTTTTATTTTATATCAATTTTACTCCCTGTGATTTTAGGAACACTAATGTTTAGAATCCTGGAAGTTAAAATGATGAGGGTGAGATCATATCTATTCTACCACCAGCAGAACAAACTCTATTACCTTTCTCTCATCTCAAGCCCAGCTGGCAAATAAGAGAATTATAAAATATTTAATGATACACTTCATGGGAATCCAGTTTAGAAAGCTATCTAGTAAACACTCTTGTTTTAGACAGTTTGGCAGAGGAACTTCACTTCATATATATTACAAATAAGGAACAGATCAGTTATAAAGGTACGTGTGTTAGGTCCCAATGAAAATCAGCATTTGGGCTAATAGTCAAGTGAAAGAAACACAAGTCTCAGCTCCATGGCTGACATTAGGAGTGGAAACATATGCCAATCCATAATATTTTTCTTGAATGTTGATGCCTATTACTTGATCAATAGAATTAGCTTGTACATATAACAAACAAGTAGTTGTTAGTATCAGTTGATTTAAGTTTAACAACAACAGGCCTTTTGTAATTTTGAGTTTCAGTGTATTCAACTGACTAATCCTTATATCTAACAGGAAAATCAATACCTTTGAAATAATTAGCTTTGGGCTCCGGGGAATCTCTACTTCTGGGCAAATGGATGGGCTTCTACCTGAAATAATTACTGCCAGAACTATAACCAGTTTCCTTGCAAGATGAAAATCAATTCAGCTATACTATTTTTTACCCTCTGTTCTCTGAAATCTGTGACACAGTGCCAGGACTGAAAATACCCATTACATTTCTATGCTTTTTAATGGGCTTTGAAATTTCAAGATTTGGAAAATGTACTGTGAGATGAGCCAAGCATGCATTTTCCTGATATAGCATGAGAAAAATAAAATAACTCCCACATACTTTTATCTATACAAGATGACAGTCAAATCTCAAAAAAGTTTAAATATTCCAAGCATTTGAAAATATTCTATAGGGTAAAGTCAACGTTTTTGAAGAGATTGTTTTTTTTCAAAAACAAAAACAAAAAAAGCTCTCCAAGTGGTTTTTCATTCCCTTCCTGTACTTTTATGAAATTAAAATTCAGGATCAGCCCCTAAGAAAAGATATTCCAAAGAAAATGCAATGATTGTCCTGTTAGATTTAATCCTTTGATGGTTCTCTTTAATTCTCAGCACTGAGTTTCACTAAATGTACAGTATTTCATTACAGTTGCCTGTCCTCTGGGTACTTTGCAGTACCCAGAGCTGTGTATTATGTCCATGGTATTTTACAGATTTCAATTGGTCTGAAAATCTCTGGGATAAAAATTATTCTTCCCTTAGAAAGAAGTAGGAAGGAGGGATAAATGAATTAATAAATGATTACAGAGCCTCTGATAATATTCCTACTTAACCAATGAAAACGAGGTGCTTCTGTAAACAGAAAAATCAACTGCAGACACTTCACGGCTGGGTGACTTTGGAGTTCAGTGACTTTTCTATTCCTGAACAACCCTAGAGCAATGAAGATGAGTTGCTAATATTTAACAATTTTATGTGTGTGTATGTGAATCAGAAGGAAAAGACAGCAAAAACATAAGGTTACCAACTAAGTCACAAAGAAAACAGACAAGCATACTACTAACCTAAGACAAAACTGCATGCACATGAGACCCAAAATGCCAGTCTATTTATGAGTGGGAAGCTTCCATATTAAGTTCAGACAACATTTCTTTAAAAAGAATCTGATATTGTTTTCATTCATGATTTCCTTAGTGATGGTTCAGATTTCCCATGTCTTCAGGTATGTCAGGAACCAAGAGAATGTGTCACATATTAACAATATTAAGATAATGATTCTCAAATAAAGCTTACAATCATATGGTTGTGCTATATACACTACCCCCAAAGAATTGTGAAGAGAATTAAATTACATATATCAGATATTCAAAAAATATTAGTCTTTTCAATATAATAATATCCACCTAAATCGTGTTATCATAGACAACTGAACACCTACAATGGAAACAAACCATACTGGTAATTAAATTGATTAAATATTTACTGAATACCTTCTATGCACCTAGCATGAGTATGATAGCTACATTCTAGTTAAGAAGATGCCCATGAAACAACATTATATGCTACTTAGAGCGTATGCTACAAACTGTAACATCTGTAATTGTCAGAGATGAAAATTGAAAAGCATATAGAAGGAGGTGGGGTCATTATTTTCCAGTAATATATAATATTATAAACCTGTAACTTTCTTCTGTCTTAATCTTATAATATCTTCAGCATCTTATGAAAGGAATCTGAGACTCAGTCCTCTCGAAGTCACATAAGCGTAGAACTAATCGCTTCAGTGTGAAGGACCCAAAAAATATTTCATGCCAACCAATGTTTCATTATTTGCACTACACTTTTTAAAAAAATTTCCTTCTACCTCCCAGAACTTTGTAAGCACATACCCTGAAATAAAATCCTAGGGGCACTTATAAACCTTTCACCCAGATGATTTAAACCATCATGCATTCCAATGAGATATAAGGCAGGATTTGCACCTGGGGCTGCAAAGTACATGGGTTGGCTTATTAACCATTAGCAGCAGGAACAAGGTAGATCTTGATGGTGAGAAATCATTACACCATGCAATCTCTCCTACAAAGAGAGAGGTTACCTTAGGATCAGCTGTGAGTAATTTGAATGCTTGATATACTTGAGATTCCTTTACACCACCACCAAGATCCAAGAAGTTGGCTGGCTTCCCACCATTCAGGAAAATGATGTCACAGGTAGCCATGGCGAGTCCAGCACCATTCACTGTGAAATGCATATGGCACACAAGACAGGATAAGTTTAACAACATGAAAGGGTGCATAAATTTTGTCCCTCCCCCATATTGCTAGAAGAGAGCCCTCACTTTACTAGGCCAATTTTCAACCTGCTTGGAATTCTATTCAGCCAGATAAATTCATAGACTTTAAGAATAATCAGGACTGTCAGGCTTCCCTGGTGGCAGAGTGGTTGAGAGTCCGCCTGCCGATGCAGGGGACACGGGTTCGTGCCCCGGTCCGGGAAGATCCCACATGCCGCGGAGCGGCTGGGCCCGTGAGCCATGGCCGCTGAGGCTGCGTGTCCAGAGCCTGTGCTCCGCAACGGGAGAAGCCACGACAGTGAGAGGCCCACGTACCGCCCCCACCCCCCACCAAAAAAAAAAGAATAATCAGGAAATGTGCATACAAAGAATAAACAAAAAAGACCTGGAAATGGGAAGAAGGATTTATTGAGAAGTTAAATCAACCTGGGAAACACAAAGAAGGGAAGAGCTTAAGTAAATAATAAATTTGGACTATTAGTAGAGGAAGGAGTTTTAGGTTCTGGAAAGTACGGAGTTTAAGAGAACTGCAAAAGAGAGGAAGAAGGATATGAAAAGCTGCTAGAGCTTATGAATTACATTCTTTTTAATATTCTTTAAGAGATTTGAGTAAAGAATGTGACTCTTTCAATTTTTTGCTTGCTGAGAATATGCTCCTTTGAATGTGGCATCCCTCTGGGGTTGAACCACAGGGATCCCAACTTCAATAGGACTCCACACTTTTTTACACTTAGTGCAACCATGCATGTTTATGCGTTCTCTGAGAAACTTAGAAAGCAAATGGACAAATTACAGCATTAAAACAATATTCCTAACCCCCGTTCCTGTTTCAAATTAATATAAGAAATGCTCAGTAGCAACCTGATCATTAAAACTAGAAACAAAATGTTGCCAACAACCTAGTAGCTTTTCTTAAGAAACCAAGGAAAGAGTTTTAACATAAAAATTCTTATTTTCCAGAGCGAAGTTTTAATGATCAACTGCACTTCATTAGCTTCTTAAGCTTAATTATAGGAAATTGCTTTCCTTAGGTTAGAAAGTGCCAAAAAAGTGCTGAACACAGCAGAAACTCTCCAGGTAAAGTACCTTTCACTTTTTCTGACCCCTGAATTTCTCAGGTAAGCCTATGAACTGTGACTAATTTAATTAAGTCTGGGACAACTAAAATAAAAATCATTTATATATGATCTTAAAACAATGTGAAATGTGTTAATCGTAGCTTATGAGACTGCTACCTTGGCCAAATCATGCACACTCCTACAGAGGCTACAAAGAATATGTATTTAATTTGCTCTAAACACACCATTATATGTTTCCCCTTTCTAAACACCTACAAATATTGAGAGCATATTAACTTATCAAGATCAGAATGATGTGAGCGATCTGGTACATTAGAGTTTTTGCTCCAAAACAAAGCAAGAGCCTTTGGTATCACTTGTAATTGGGTGTCATTTTCTATTGTATTGAACAGCAAGCTACTGGATGAGGTCTGTTCAGTTCTGAATATAATGATACTGCTGGTTTAATGAGCTACAAATCTTTTTTATTTTAATTCCATTGAGATTAAGACCTCAGTTTCAAGTGCAATGAATTGCTTCCACCAGAAACGGAGAAGTGTATAAATCTCAGTACCATACGCTATGGACAATGCAGAAATTGTATTGCCTCTATAGACCCATTCTTATCTCTGCTAATAAGCCAATTTTACAAATTTAGATGACTATGACAAAATCAACTGTCTTATTAATAAACTGACATAATGGAGTAAACATTTTATCATTTGGTTTTCACAGCACCTGAAACTTTAGTATAATGATTAAAGTATTCATTCTCTTCTACTTCCTCTAAGAAAGCAATTTATCTTAAACCAAGATTTCAGAATAATTCCTAGCATATTAACATTGACTAGAGTAGCAGAAGTTCTGACCTTTACTAATCAAAGTTTAACTGAAATACTTTAATGTTGTGGTTCTCAACTGGGGTGACTGTGCTTACCAAAATGTAATGTCTGGAGACATTTCTGGTCGTCACAACTGGTGACAATGCAGCACAGGAAAGCGCCCCACAATCAAGAATTATCCAACCCAACATGTTCATAGTGCCAGAAGTGAGAAACCCTGCTTTAAACTGGTGACCACCAGCCAAAATGAACTTTGAGAAGAAATTCTGGGTTGTTTCTTAAGAGTTTTGGCTACAAAAATCTCATACATTTACTTGCTATTGGAAAATAACATTTCAGAAACCAAGGGGTTTCTGCAAAAATCCACAAATCATTCTTTTGATGTAACTGCTTTCTTACCAAAGCAGGCAATGTTCCCGTCCAGTCCTATGTATTTTAGGTCATATTTGGCAGCTTCATTTTCAATGGGTTCATTCTCTGATTTGTCGTCCATAGCAAATATGTCCTTTTGTCGGAATTCTGCATTGTCATCAAAGTTTATCTTGGCATCAAAACAGACAACTAATAAAGAAAAAAGAAACATACTTAAATATCTCCTAAGGATCTATAAATTAAGTTCTTCAGGCTGACAAGTGCAGGAGAAAGAAAGTCAAATACTGTTATTTTTTCTCATGCTTCAGGCAGAAGCTGTAATGGCTTTCTTGACCTTTAAACTTTAAGGCTACTAAGACAAATATGACATGGTCCCTGTTTTCAAGGGACTTACATCCTAATAAAAAGCATAATAATTTATCTGTTGGTTTCTATAAAATAACAATGTAAGTTGCCATTACTCATTAAAAGCTACAGACTGGCATAGCTACATATGGATTTGATTTGCAATTTTTATTACAGTTCTTATTTTTAGTATTTAACCTTTCACTTCAATGCAAGGAGAGACTAGACAATAACGCTTAATGCTGTCCCCCTATGTCCTTCTTTTGATGTTGCAAAGTGAAGTTTTTATTTAATCAGTATCCTCACTAATATGTCTAGAAGATATAGTGGAAAGAATACCAGGCCAGAATGAATAGATTTTTTAAATTATTTGATCCTTAACTAAATCTGTAACTTTGATAAAAATAACCTACTTTCTTTCTGGACCTCAGTTTTCTTATTTGAAAAATGGAAACAACAATCCCCAGACTGCTGATACACTTACTCTGGGAAAACTAGATCATCATCTTGATGTGAGCAGGACCATCTTATGACTCTTGTGATTCAAGATACAAAACACTAAGAGACCAAGACTAGTCAGTTACAATGGAATGCTGCCAGGCATTATTAGCACCACTGTCTCCACACTCTGGTGCTGGCAGAAATCTCTTAACTCTTTTTACTGGCTAGGAGCCCTGGACACAGTGAAACTCACTCAGCGACAGGGAGGGACCACAGTTTTCCTTGATTTACAGATCTTCCACATGTACAATCAGGTAGCGACTGCAGTGGGGACGGGTGGTGTGCTTGGTGTCTTGGATCTGATCTCTTTTATTAGATCCCTTAGAGTAGAAAGTAATTGTCTATGATGACGTTCCATCATAACCTGCTTTTACCCTGCCTGGGATATCGACAGGCAGGGATCTCTGACCATGAATTTAAATATTACCCATTCTCCTCCAGCATTGCTGATAGGCACCTAACTCTTGACAGGGAAAGGACCACCTTCATATATTTCACTCTAAAGTAATGACCATGGTCTGTTAGTCCCACTTGCTTCCTATGAAAAGAAAATATTGTTATATTGTAGCATCCTGAAGTTAAAGACCCCAGGTAGAGGTTTTTTCCAAGGGTCTCTCTACCACAAAAATTGAGCACTTTGGTACAAATCTGTGCAGAATTGTCATATTAACATCTAAGAATTCTCAGCATAAAAAGAAGTCCAAACCACAAATTACTTAAAGTAGCACTGACTGACAAGGGAGAATCTTAAATGGAATTTAATGTCTGCCTGAGTCCTTTGTGTTGCCACAAAATGTCCAACCCCTTTACCCACACATTGTGAATATACAGAGCAAATGAGTAATTACTTTCCAGAATAATGAAATCTTAAAGATGGAATCCTACATTACCAAAGGAATTGGCCAATGTTCTCTGCTTGCTACAGTAGCATTTTCTCAGCAATTAATGACTGGTATAAAAATCGATAGGAAAGCAACATCATTGTTGGCTTTCCATTGGGTTTACAAATATATATTAATTAATTTATTAGTAATTTTAGCTCCTCCATTACTCACTGGCAAGATTACTTGAAACCAACATGTTCAGAATGAATGGGCAAATGCTATCAAATTGACTTCTTAAGTGAAGAGTTTCAAATAAAAGAATTCTTGGTCAAGATTAATAAACCAGTAAATCAAAATAGGTCCAGGCTGACCTTTGCCCCTTACAAAGACTACAGTTACAAGCTACTTCAGAGAGAGCGTAATTGATGGGTATGTATGCAAGGCGCAGAAGGCAGTCCCAGCTAAATGCCTGCAAAGTCAGATTTTCAAAAGACTCTTTTTCTTTTAATATGATATGTATGGCAAGTACAGAAATGAGTTCACTATTTGGGGACCACCTTGAGAGAACTTTAGAGTTAACCTAGGACCTAAAGATAGTGACTGTGGGATGATAGGGTTATCTATAGGTAGGAAAAAAGGTGTATCGACTATGGTCCCTTGCCAACTGTTCTCCCTCCATAGAGAAAATTAAACAACATAATTAGGTCAATGTATGTATGTCCAAGTGCCTTTAGAAATTAAAAACACTACACAAATAGGAAGTAAGTAAGGCAACTTTAAGTAGTAATGAAAAATATCCAAAACTGAATTGCCACCATTAATGCCTAAATCTTTTTTGGGGAGGGTGGCGCTAGAGCGGGGGATAAAGCATTTTAAGGAGGTACATGGATTCTGTTAGACACATATTTGTTAAACCTGCTCAATATTTTTAAAATGGTCCCAAACGGGCTTCCCTGGTGGCGCAGTGGTTGAGAGTCCGCCTGCCGATGCAGGGGACACGGGTTCGTGCCCCGGTCCGGGAAGATCCCACATGCCGCGGAGCGGCTGGGCCCGTGAGCCATGGCCGCTGGGCCTGCGCGTCCGGAGCCCGTGCTCCGCAACGGGAGAGGCCACAACAGTGAGAGGCCCGCGTATCGCAAAAAAAATAAATAAATAAAAAATAAATAAAATGGTCCCAAACATACTAAGTGCCTTCCTGCCTTACAATCTCAGTTCATAATGTTACATCATCTGGAAGTTTTCCCTTGAACTTGACCATTTAACGCAGACTCTGGCATCAAAAACACCTGGGTATGAATTATAACTCTCACATACTGCACTGTATTGAAGAAAGGGGAGGATGCATGCAAAGCACTGAGCCTCACTGACAGCTGCCACTCACTGGTTATTTTTATTATTACCAATGCCATCCTCTACATGCACAGTGCTTTCTTAGGGCTTCAGAAATACTATAGGTCCTTATGGCCCAGGCTACAGGATTCTCTTCTCTTCCTATCACTAAAAATGACCTGTACTGTGTCCCATTCCCTTATAATCCTAGAATTCTGTTTAGAGTACATCTAAACTAATGCCTACTGGAGTTTACACATGTACAGGTTACCTATGGTTTTCAATAAAAATACGACCTTCTGAATACATCAGAATTTTCCCACAGGAAGGATTTTAATGGTTGGCATTTCAGGCTTTGGAACTGACAGAGAAGGAGATTTTGCCTAAAGGATGATGATGAAAGAGATGACTCTGGTGATCCTTGAATCACACCACACTGTTGCATAAGGCCAGGGAGGCTACAGATGTGTCTAAAACAGCCCCAAGTGAGACTCCAAGTCAGGCAGTGGCAGAGTACAGCCCTTAGGCCAGCTCACTGCCTGTTTTTGTAAATGCAGTTTTACTGGAATTCAGTCACAACCATTCATTTACACACCTCTATGGTTGTTGTCCCAAAACAACAGCAGAGATGACTGGCTGCAATAGAGACTAAATGGCCCCCAAACCCCCAAATATTTACTAACTGACCCTTTACAGAAAAAGGTTGCCAATCCCAGCTAAGCCACAGTTCTCATCACATTTGTATCCTACTTTAACAACTGAAAAAATAGTCACAGGTATCATATTTGTATGAGTGAAGGAGAAACCTAGGAAAGTTCATCATACTAGTGTGAAAACAAAGAAGTATGACAAAATAAACCAAAACTTTCAGCTTGCACAAAAGGAGTAGATCAATCCCTGAATACTGATTGACTCTAATTTCCCCCTGCAAGACCCCTCCAAGTACACTTTCAGAACTGGTGGGTTAAAAATGGTGGGTCTAATTGAAAAAGAGTCACGTACCACAATGTCCACTGCAGCACTATTTACAATAGCCAGGACATGGAAGCAACCTAAGTGTCCGTCGACAGATGAATGGGTAAAGAAGATGTGGCACATATATATAATGGAATATTATTTGGCCATAAAAAGAAACGAAATTGAAGTTATTTGTAGTGAGGTGGATGGACCTAGAGTCTGTCATACAGAATGAAGTCAGTCAGAAAGAGAAAAACAAACACTGTATGCTAACACATATATATGGAATTAAAAAAAAATGATTTTGATGATCCTAGGGGCAGGACAGGAATAAAGATACAGACATAGAGAATGGACTTGAGGACACGGGAAGGGGGAAGGGTAAGCTGGGACAAAGTGACAGAGCAGCATTGACATATATACACTACCACATGTGAAATGGATGGCTAGTGGGAAGCAGCTGCATAGCACAGGGAGATCAGCTCGGTGCTTTGTGACCACCTAGAGGGGTGGGATAGGGAGAGTGGGAGGGAGACCGAAGAGGGAGGGAATATGGGGATATATGTATACGTACAGCTGATTCACTTTGTTATACAGCGAAACTAACACAACACTGTAAAGCAATTATACTCCAATAAAGATGTTTAAAAAAAAATGGATTGGCTATGTCAACAATAGCACAATAAAATAAACTTCCTTGCTCAGACCTTGGCTTTTTCATTTAATAAGACAATAAACTATGGTAAAATGTATTTTTGGAGGTGCTGAGCTTGGTTCAGATATTAAACTTTTCAATGTCACATTAATGAAACCTCAATTCTATAGAAAATTCAACTCAAACCAAGGCCATTCTGTGTACAGAGTGGGTGAAAAAAACACACCTATTAATATTTATAAAACAATTTTCACCATGAAAAGCATATTGTTATATGCTTGATAGATTATACATATGAATTTTCCTTCTGAATAAATATCCAAGAAAGCTGCAGTAGTTATATTCATAGGGTGTTTTTGTTGTTTTGTTTAATGGTGTGAGATCCTGTGAGCTGCTAATTCAACACCCTCGATGAAGAACTGAGAACGTGACTGGCAGTTAGCGGCCTCTGACCCTAGAGTTTTAACAGAAGAATGTGCCACAGAATTAAACAAAAGAAAAATACATTTCAGAGGGGAGACTCACACATAAAAGAAACAAAAAAAAAACAGCAGGAAATAAGACTTGTCATAATTATTTTGGAAAATAATCTGTCTTCAAGTAATGTACTGAATTCGATTTGTGATAATTAACCATAACGTGCTACTGAAATGCGCTTTGCCAAGATGGCTTTAAAATGCTGATACTTCCAAATTAGTCCACTTTCCGTTAAATGTTAATTTCAAAGAGTTGTATACTCTTGAGAACTTTAGTTGCTGTGAAAAGAGAAAAATAGACACTAGGCGGGAGGGAGCTTCGGAGGAAGGTAGAGAACTGAGAATGTTCTTGAAAATAGTCTTGTGTATAAAGAGAGAAACACAGAGAAACACCCACCAACATCGTGGGCACTTGCTAACACAGAGCAACAGGGTGGTTATTTAGGGAAATTAATCTGAAAAAAGAAAGGAATTTGATGTGCCACTTAACTTTGGATCACCCAGCCTTAATTCTCTTGGAATCTTGGCCAGATAGTTTTAAATTGGGTTTAATTCCTTTAGCTCAGTGAATGGATTTCGGCTCCAACTGATGAAGATGCCTTAGAGCAGGAATTCTTAACCTCAGGACTACTGACATATTGAGTGAGATCATTTTCTTATGAGAGGGACAGCACTGTGCATTGTATAATGTTTAGTGGCATCCCTGGCATCTACCCACTAGAAGTAGCATCCTGCACCCCAAGTTGTGACAAGCAAAAAAGGATGTTAACTAGATTCATTGTGGTGATCATTTCACTAGATAGACATAGATATAAATCAAATCACTGTGTTGTATACTTGAAACCAGTATAATGTTGTATGTCAATTATATTTTAGTAAAAAAATGTGTCGAGACATTGCCAAACAGCCCCTGGGGAACAAAATGCCCACCCTCCCCAATGAGAAACATTGTTTTAAAGATACCAAAGAAACGAGTCTGTGTGCAGGCAGATCTGGCTGAGAGTGGGATGAAAAGAAATAAGATATAAAATCTCACAGTGGCTTACAAAATAAGTAAATGAAGATAGGTAAATAATCAAAAATTTTAAAAACCTTGCTTTTTACTTGGCTACAGGTTTAATGAATTAAATCTGGCACTGCAATTGGACAAGCAAGGAAAATAGTTCCTTTCTTTCTATTTGTTTGCTTTCATTTCAAAACAAGCTGTCATTCTCATAGACATGTTTTAACTCAATGTCCCTTTTTCCTTTGCGAAACTGCCTTTTCCTCACCATGTGATTCCAGCTCAGTGTATGGTCTAGGTGTGCACATGTGACCCAGGCAGGGCCAATCAGCATCATCTGAAAGGACTGTTACTGTTGCTGGAGGAGAATGATGAAAACTGAGAGCCACCTTGGCTGACAGCTCCAGAGGCACTGACTGACAAAGACGCTGAGTTAGAGGCAAGCAGCACTGGGCAACCAGAGAATCCCTGATTACCTTCATACCTGAAGCCAGTCTACTCCTTAAACTTCTCTGTAACACAAGTAAAATAAGTACCCACCTCCCCAGGGGGCTTTTTAACAAAAACTAGGCTCATGTAGGTTTGTGTCACTAACAACCATTATAATCCTAACTAGTGGCCACTAAACTACATTACAGTCAGTAGTGCCAACTTATATTGTTTGAATCAGACTATTAATCACATTGGAAAAAATCGTTTTTGGGGTGTACCAAAAATTCCCCACTGGTGATCTAGCAGCGTAGATGTTATCAAGGCCAATGCTATTCTTTCTACCGTGTGTCATCTATTATGCATATATATGACCATTCACCTGGAATTTTTAAAAATGTTCCTCATCAAGCAATAGAAGACTGAAGAAATTCTTTTACAAAGAAATTGTGCAATGAATAAGTTTAAAACTTTTTAAAATAAAAAGTCTGGTGTAATGCCAAGCTTCTTAAACTTCTAAATTAAAAGAGTAATTGTTAAGTCAAGGTTTTAATGGGAAAGGTTATATGTTTTGCTATTACTGATCTAAAAGAAAAAATTTAAGTATTCTGATTATAAATATTGTCAATATTGCTAAAATAGAAATGACTACTATTATAGCTCCTAAATAAAGGATTGCTTTAGGGAAATGTGACAATGATGAAGATCAATTTGTACATTTGGTCATTCATCAATGTTTCCTAATTGGGTTTAATTTGACTACTGCTCATTAGGAGTTATAAACCAACACACTTATTTGATTGTGATTATAATTCAATAGCTGAACTTTTATGGTACAATGAACAAATTAATAGCTAAAGATAATTTTGCTCTTAAAAATATCACATAAGACTCATGTTTTAATGAACTATATACATGGAATGTATTTTATGACGATTCCTTCGAAAAAGCTCAATAATTTTTCTTTCTCTTAATAATTAAAAAGAAAACTTCAGATTTTACGAGGTTTTACAAACACTCTCTAGGAAAAGGTTCTTGTAGCCCTGTTCCCTGCTGCCAGACCACAATCTGAGACTGAAAACTTCCCAAAGGGATATATGAAAATGCCATTTTTATCCCACTTGATGGCTGAATTTCCATTTCTTTTGTTAACATGAAATAACCAGGTTGCTTGTGCATATTAGCTTGAAAAGCAATATATGACCTTTACGAATTTAAACTCAACTTCCTCTCTTGGATTTAATTATCAGCCACTCAACGCAGCATGAATTTTAACTGATATTCCCAAACTGGAGACTACTTCTAGATCACTCTGATGAAAGCAAATTAACAGTTTAAGATGGAAAAAATAGAAAATAAGGCAGGTCACCATAAGTTAGTCTGGCATATCAGAATTAACATGTACACCAGACTCCAAAAGACAAGGGTCTGAATCCCATCTCCAGTAACTAGCTGCCCATGGGGAGCCAAATTCATTCTTCAATCTTTTATAAAATGGAGATAACAACTCCTAACTCTTCAGAGTTATGATAAACAATAAAAAAAGAAGACACATAAAAGTTTATCACAGTGCCTGATGTATGAGTTCCAGAAACAATTTTCTTCTCCTCTCTATATCAAATACTGATTATTTTACAGCCAAATGCAATTTTTCAAATATTTAAGCATAAAGGTAGTTCGCTTATAAATGACCAACCACAGAATTTTATCTAGTGGTCACTTGTGTAAACCATGAAAGCTATTAATTTCAAAGGTTTCCTAAACATGAGCTCTTTGCCTGTCCTAATCTGAAATCTTTAAAAACAAAAAACAAAACAAAACAAAAAAATAGATAAAAATATAAAATCTATACCTTTCCTGGACTACTTCTATACTCCTTGAGAAGAATACATTTTATGAATGTCAGGGGCCAGCCTATTTTGTGTTTAACATTGGATGCTTACACCAATCACCTCATTTAGACAACTGCCCTACAAGATAGGTATCATTTTTACCCACTCTTTTGGATTTACGAACAAAAACAAACAAACAAACAAAAAACAACCGAGGCTTAGCCCACATATGTGGCTGGAACACAGCAATCCCAGGCCTCTCTGGGTTCCAAGGACATGGTATTTTAAATTTTCTGAGTCTGACTATACAATTTCTGAAATATACTAAAGAGAAAAAACTGTACCATCCACGCTGGTCTAGAACTTATTTGTATTTGCACATAATGGGTATTTATTAGTCCAATGGCAAATCCTTATTTACTGTCTGCTCACAACATGCTAAGCAGCAAACAAGACACTGGTGTTGAAAGATACTAAAAAAGACAAGATTCATGAAATTTACATTATCACTATCCTATCCCCTTGATATCCCACCCCCCCCCCCCCCATAAGCACATGCACATTTTCAAGCTTTTGCTATCAAATTAGTAAGACCTTACTGAATACTTGCCGTATGCAAGACACGGTGCAAGGGTGGTAGGTGCTGAGATATAAGACAGTTATTGATACACTACAAGTACCCAGTGGGAAGGAAAAACCTTCTCCACAAGAATGTCTCCTTCTCCCACCTGAAGGGAAAGCTGCTAACCAAGTAATGGGAAAG